GACAGAGAGAGACAGAGCATGAACGGGCGAGGGGCAGAGAGAGAGGGAGACACAGAATCGGAAACAGGCTCCAGGCTCTGAGCCATCAGCCCAGAGCCTGATGCGGGGCTGGAACTCACGGACCGCGAGAGCGTGACCTGGCTGAAGTCGGACGGTTAACCGACTGCGCCACCCAGGCGCCCCAAAAATTATTTCTTAAATTAAGATATAATTCACATATCACAACCCTTTCAAAGTAAATAATTCAGTGGTTATGATTTATAATGCCTGAACATTCCCTATCATCTGAAAAATACACCTCATACTCCTTAGCAGTCACTTCTCATTTCCCCTCCTCCAAACCACTGGGAACCACTAATATACTTTTACCTCTCTGGATTTGCCTATTCTGGACATTTCATGTAAATGGAATCATACAATATATGACCCGTCTGTGACAGGCTTCTTTAATTTACCATAATGTTTTCAAGGTTCATCCGTGTTGTAATATGAACCAGTTTATTTTTTATGGTTGAATAATATCCATTCTATGGATAAAACACATTTTATTTATCTCTTCATCAGTTGGTGGACATCTGGGTTGTTTACATTTTTGACTATTATGAATTAATGGTGGCATAAATAATCACATATAAGTTTTTGTGAGGACATATTTTTTTATACTCTTGGTTATATAACTAAGAGTGAAATTGCTGAGTCATATGGCAACTCTATGTTTAACTTTTTAAAAAACTGTCAAACTGTTTCCCAAAGCAGCTGCACCATTTTATATTCCCACCAGAAAGGGTTCTAATTTCTTTACATCCTTGCCAGTACTTATTGTTTCCTGTCTTCTCAATTATAGCCATGATAGTGAGTGTGAAGTGATATCTCATTGTGGTTTTGATTTGCATTTCCATAATGGCAGATGATATTGAACATATTTTCATGTGCTTATCAGCCATTTTCATATCTTCTAATGAAAAATGTTTATATAAATCCTCTGCCCTTTTTTTTTACAGTGGATTATTTGTCTTTATTGTTGAGTTGTTAAGAGTTCATTATATATTGTATATACTAGACCCTTATCAGATACATGATTTACAAATATTTTCTGCGAGTTATCTTTCCACTCTCTTGATGGTGTCCTCTGAAGCACAAAAGTGTTTAATTTTAATGAAGTTCAATTTATCTGGCTTTTTTTGTTTGGTTGCTTCCCCTTTGGTCTTTTATATATAAGAAACCAAAGTCAGCAATACTTACATCTATGGTTTCTTCTAAGAGTGTTATAGATTTAGTTTTTCCATTTAGGTCTTTGATCTATTTTGAGTTAATTTTTGTATAGGATGTGAGGTAGAGATTCAACTTCATTGTTTTTCATGTGTATACTCTGACTCAATACTATTTGTTGAAAAAACTACTATTTTCCATTGAATATTTCTCTTGTCAAGAACCAACTGACCATAAGTGATTATTTCAGATTTATTTTTATGAGAGCACCACACAGTCTTTTTTAATTATTATTTTAGAGAGAAAGAGAGAGAAAGAGACAGAGCAGGCATGAGCCAGGGAAAGGGGCAGAAGGAGAGAGAGAATATTAAGCAGGCTCCGTGCTCTGCACAGAGCCTGATGCTGGGCTTGATCCCAAAACCCTGGGATCATGACCTGAGCCAAAATCAAGAGTCAGATGTTGAATTGACTGAGCCACTAAGGCAGAGTCTTGATTACTATAACTTTTTCCTAAATTTGGAAATCAGGATGTTGAAAAACTCTAACACTTCTTACCACTTCTATTCAGCATAATTACTAGTGATCCTAGTTTGTGCTATCCAGCATGAAAGAGAAATGAAATACAGCCAATTGCAAAGAATGAAGTAAAGCTGTCTTTATTTGCAGAAGACATGATTGTCTGTGTTGAAAATCCAATAGAATCTACCGAAAAGTGACTACAACCCATAAATGAGTTTAACAAAGTTGCAAGATGTAAGACCACCATATGAAAATCAACTGTATTTCTATATGCTAGCAATTAACTATGCAAAACTAGTATTTTTTGTATGGTAAAATACCATTTATAATAGTATCAACACTATGAAATATTTAGGAATAGATCTGACAAAAGAAGTGAAACCTTTAAATAAAAGCAGAAACCATTACTGACAGAAGTTAGAAAAGACCTAAATAAATGGAGAGATATACTTTTTTTCATAGATTGAAGGGCTAAGTTTTGTAACAATAATTCTTCCCAAATTGACCTGTAGAAATAATGCATTCCTACGAAGCCTTAGCAAGTGTTTTTAAAAGAAATTTACAAACTGATTCTAAAATTCATATAGAAATGCAAACAACTGTGAAAGAAAAGAGCGAAGTTATAGGGCCAACACTAATTTAAAAACATTATAAAATGACAGTAATCAAAACTGTGGTATTAGCCTAAGATGGACAAATATATCAATGAAATAGGATATAGACAGTCCAGAAATAAACCCATGAATATATGGGCAACTGACTTTTTACAAAGGTGTGAGACGGAGAAAAATGCAAAGTGGATAGAAGATCATTTTTTTCAACAAATCGTAGTGGAATGATAAGAGGTCTACACACCAAAACAAACAAAAAACCTAGAATGTCAATCCACAGCTTTCACTGTTACAAAATTTAACTCATCACAGAACCAAATGTAACACCTAAAACTATACAAGAGGAAGACATAGGAGAAAAGTTTTGTGAACTTGGGTTAGGCAAAGATTTCTTAGATGTCATGATATACACAGGTCATAAAATAAAAAATCAATAAATTGGACTTCGTCAAAACTAAAAACATCTGCTTTTCAAAAGACACTGTTATTACAATGAGAAAACAAATCACAGATTGGGAGATAGTATTTGCAAAGCGTATATTTACTAAAGGACTTGCATTCAGAATACAAGAAGAATCTCAAAACTCAATAATGAGAAAACTAGCAACCCAATTTAAAGTAAACATTTGAGCAGATACTTCATAACACGATATTTGGATAGGAAATAAACATGAAAGATGTTAGACATCATTTTTCATTAGGGAAATGCATATTAAAACCATGAAATACCACCACACATCCATTAGAATATCTAAAGGATGCTAAGGATGTATGACAACTGGAATTCTGATATATTGCTGCTGGCGATGTAAAATAATACAACTTATTTGGAAAACAGTTTGGCAGGTTTTTTTGATATCTACAAAGTATTTTTATTTATGACGTATTTTCAACAGCTCTACTAAGGCATCATTGACATAAAATTGTATATATCTAAAGGTACAAGTTGAGACCTATGAAATGTTCATACACTTGTGACACCATCACCAAAATCAATATAATTAA